CACCAACAAAACAACCAAAAACAACAAAAACAAAAAAGAGCCCAACCCAACCAACCCCACCCCCTCCCAAAATAAAAACCAAACAAAACCAAACAACAACATTAAAATAAAGCAAGAAAAACCTATCAAACGCTCGGGATTTAAAGGCTAAATGCCCCTTATACATGCACTTTCGCAACTATTCCGTGCAACGACATAATGTACGCAAGGGTGGGTGTCGAACTCCTACCTCTGAGGAAGGCCTCCATGGGGTCTATCTCCACCACCTCTTTCTTGACCTCGTCCAGAACCCCACCATGTAGCACCTTCAGATCTCGCTCCTCCTCCAGTTTGTCTTGGAGTGTCTTGAATTTAGCGAAAACTTTCGTATTCTGAGTGAGTAAAGAAAGCTTTTCTTAAAACTATGCCACGAAATTGAGATTGTTTCAGAACGCTTTCATATAGTCTGTATGCTGAGGTAATAATGATACATGTAATACGGTTAACTGTTAAGCACATAAGAGTTTGCAGCTGCGTGGGAATTTACCTTATACGAGACCTACAGCAAAACGCCTAACCATAACACCACAGACTGAGAAGGCAGTGTTTTGCATTTATTCTTTATGCCTGATGTAAAAACTATACACTCCATCGTTGTCCGCTCTAGAATTTTATGTTAAGTTATAAAAGTAAAGTTAACCAAATTTTACCATATCTGCCTCCATGTTTAATTGGTTATCTTTGAAAGAAAGCAGGTATGAAGGCGTAAAAACAATTCATTTTTAGACGAAATGGAAAACTATAAGTATAATATTTGAATGAGTGGAGCCACATATCTTGTGCCACTATCAATATCATGTTGTGTTTACCCCAAGGTTCAGTAGCTTGACACCCGATGCCTCGTTTCTGTCAATGCTCGTAAGCATGGCAAGCGCTCCTTCTGCCTTGAGAGTGTTGTAAGAGACCTGTGGATCATCATCATCATCATCATCATCATCATCATCATCATCATCATCATCATCATCATCATCATCATCATCATCATCATCATCATCATCATCTTCTCTGTCGTCATTATCCTCAGCAAAGAAAAAAAAATTAACAAGGACAATAATTATATGATATTCTTTATAAGTTTGATTTATGATATTAAAATAACTTACCGATTTGATGTGGTGTTCAACAAGAGCACGATCTAAACAACTTACGACAGCAAGAGCTTCATTCTAGCGATAAGAGCGGCGCCCAAGGAAAAACGTTCGGAAGAAACGAACTTCAAAAAAGCGAACTCATTCAAAGAAAGTTAGACTCACACCCAGATAATGAAAGGCACCTCTATAGTTCTAGATCTCAAGTATATAATTTTGGAGGCGCTGACGTTTTTGTCACTTTTTAGAAGAAATCATATACTCTTCAGGCCCCAAAATTTCCACGAAAATAACACAATCAATGACGATATTATAGCGGCATTAAAATGAACCCATGCAAAACTATCTAGACTCAAGTCCATGTATTGCGAGACATCATTAACCCCTTCATGGCAAGACCTGCTCTGTAACCTTAGCAATTTGTTGTATACAGGGTTAGACATGGCAGTGAAACGGTTAGTAATGTTCAGAGGAGAGCGAGAAAAGAAAAACATTTGGAAGGAAAAAGCAAGAGTCATAACAAGTGAACCCATACAAAGCCAGCTAGGCTCTCGTCTATGTATAGAAAGATATCGTTGATGGCGCAAGTTAGAGGTGCACGTACAGGAAAACAGTGGGATGGAAAAAGAGGCACAGATCTAATAAATGGTCTCATATACAAAGGTTAAGGTATTGCAAGACATCAATTAAGAGGAGCGAGTATAGAATAACAGGTGGAAGGAAAAAACGAGAGACTTAACAAGTGAAGCCAGCGAGATGAAGTAACAAGCGAGAGACATAACAAATGAAGCCAGCTAGAAGAGGAAACAAGAGAGAGACATAACAAGTGAAGCCAGCTATAGGAAAGAACAACAAACGAGAGGCATAACAAGTGACATGAAGCAAGCTGTAGGAGGGAACAAGAAGCCTGCGAGAGGAAGGACAAACAAGCGAGAGTCATAACAAGTGACGCCAGCTAGAAGAAGAAACAAGCGAGAGACTCATCAAGTGAAGCCAGCTCAGCTAGAGGAAGGAACAACAAGCGAGAGGCATAACAAGTGAAGACAGCTGGTGGAGGGAAAAGAGAGAGACATAACAAGTGAAGCCAGCGAGAGGAAAGAAAGAACTAGAGGCACAACAAGTGAAGCCAGCTGGAGGAAAGAGTAAGAGAGAGAGAGAGAGAGAGAGAGAGAGAGAGAGAGAGAGAGAGAGAGAGAGAGATAGATAGACAA